ATGGTTTGACACTGGCACAATGCCAGTGCCCCTATGAAAATGTGATTCCTACCTGGAATGCTGTGAAGTGGAATTTAGAATAGAGCAAAGCAGGCCTAAGCTTGATAACAGGAAAAAAAACTTTATTAAACTACTACTACAAAAGAAAAGAGAAAATTAAAGAAGGGAAAAGAAAACACACAAAGATCTAAATGAAAACTTTGCAAAACATTCCTCCCCCCCACCACCCAACTCTAACAAACTACAGTGAGACACAATCTGAACTCCAATCAGGTTTCTATCCTTTAAGCAATTGATACTCAGTCTATCGAGGGAACAGAGTCTTTTCTGTGCCACAGACCCCCCAAGAAACACAGCTCTACATCTTGTGTTTCTATGTTACACATGGCACTGTCCGGAGAAAAAGTTTGCTATGGTGACCCTTCTCCTTTCTATGCACAGTGTTCTCACCATCAATGCATGGATGGTCACTGCCTTTAGGATTTTTCTTTTTAAAGATGCCCTGCCAAGAGGGGAGAAAACAACAGTTCAGTTTTTCATTGTTTGGGACCACAGTCCCCCCCATTTTCCCCTGGGGCCGAGGGCTCAAGAACAGAGATTTTCTTCTCTTCTCATTCCTTTCCAGGGCAAGGGGGTGCCACCACAAACCCCCCAACCTTTTCTTTGTTCACTCCACTTTTGTCTTTTTCCCAGCTGAAGCAGGTCTTTTGACTCACTGGCATCCTCCCAAAACACAGTTTCTCTTGAAGGAGAAGATTGGTTCAGGTTGTGGCTAATACGGAAAAGTCCAGCTAAAAGCCACTCCTTGTCCCCCTCTCATCTAGAATTTCTCTTTCCAACATCCCATCCCAGGGTCCAAGGTGTCTTTCTTCCTCTCTTTTAAATTGAGGAGGGGAAAGGAAAATTCACAAAGCTTTCATTTTTCAAGGAAGGGTTAAAAGTCTGAACTCCCAGGATGGCTCGATGTCCAGACATCCAGCAACTCCCACACAGCTGGGCACTTTGGAGCTCCCCCCGCTCCTCCTTCCCTGCGGCTTTCTCTCTCCCTCTTGGGAGAGGAACTCTGGGGGGGGAAATGGAGACATCCCAGATTTCTTCCACCCTTCCATTTGCAGGGGCCAGCCCGGTTCTAGTCCTTTCACCACTCTTGGGGCTTTCGGCCTACCTTTCTCAGGCCATGGGCTTCCCCTCCCCCACCCAGCTCGTGGCTGGGCGGGGGAAGGTCTGCACTGCACGCTGACCAGAACCAAAGAGAGTGAGTTTTCCTGGGAATTCTGCTTTTAACCCCTCTGTGTTCTCAGAGGCGTGTCTACTTTTAATTGGTCAATATCTAAATTGACCTCTTCTTTCCGGGAAAAATTATTTTTCCGTGTCAAACCACGACAGCCATGAATATTTGAAGATAATTATATTTAAATCAGTTCCAAATATGAGATTCTTTTTCTTCTTGAGGGAATTGTGCTGTAACACTTAAATCCTTTATATTAATTTTTTCCCTTTCTGAATTGAATTCAGACATACTGTGGATTTATGTTATTACTTTTCATCAATAGCAAGTACTTTCCATTCTAGCAGGCTCTCAGTGGTGTCTGCACTGAACAACAGAAAATACCTATTCCTTGGAGGAGTTTTCTCTTGATATTTTTTTAATTTCTATTCTATGTTTTTAATTATCATTATTCTCTAGTGTTTCATCTTCCACAGAAACTTCCAATATTTTTAGGACATCTTTTCAGACACCCTAATTGTTTCCTTGTGGAGACTGAACTGGATCCATGGGATGGTCAGCCTTAAATACCTGACACCTTTTCCTCTTGTTTTCTCCCATGGGCTGATTTATATCAGGTTGGCTGAAGTATTGCTCTAACAGAGGGACTGGATGCTGTATGATACACACATCCAAGCAGTCCCACTGTAATCAATTAGTAAGATTAAATAATTTCAAAGGAAACATTTCATTTGTCCCATGTAAATAACATTTTCATTACTCATTTCAACTGGCCAAACAGCAAAACCAAAGTTTTTTTCTTAATAAAAAGAGAATGATCTTAAAGTAAACACCACAAATAGAAAAGTTGCTGGAAATTTCCTTTGTGGGAAGGGATGCAATAGAATGGGAGTTTTATCCTTGGGTCACCAATACCTAGGGTCAACCAGGGGACTATCTTTGAAAAAATTAACTCTCCCGAGAAAAATAACACATTATTCCTTCTGCCTGACTCTAAAGAAGAAAAAACTGTAATTTTACCCACCAAATCCCATCTGATCCCTGTTCATGCCTGGGAAGATGCATTTCTTTCGGAGTGAGCCGTTGCTGTCACATCCTCCCATCAGCTGAACCCTGGGAGGTTTCTCTCTGTTGTGCTGCCAGGATGCTCCTTACATCCCTTCTGGAGACACACTGGACAGGTCTCAGCACACTCAGCAAGAGACTTTCAGTTTCATTTGCACAGAGCACTCCTTTTCCATTACAGGAAATCAGGGAATGAGAACTCAGCCCTCCCTTTGGCTGGGAATCACAATTCTTGGGCATTCTGTAGACACTGATGTTTAGGGTACACTCAAAAGACCCCAGCGCATCCTCAAAACAATTCCTGAGCTTGCTTAGATTTAAAAAACATAATGTCACTGCTGTTGATATCATTTGGGTTCAGATTTATGAAAAAAATTATATATTTTGATTAAATAAGCACACACCTGTACACATACTCACACTTCAGAGGATTGGGAGAATTAGATGTAAATGGCTGTTGATGAAACTCAAACACTGTGTGCTGGTGCTGGAATTCAGAGCCAGCTTTCTGGGATTAGGTGTCCCTGACTAACCTCAGCTGTTAGAAATTATTGTGGAGCTTGCCCCTGGCAGGTGAGGGGTCGCTGTGAGAAGGAGAACAAAAGCTTTTCTTCTTTCTTCTGCCTCTGCCTCACCCCTCTGCAGTATTGGGCAAATGTGGTTTTAATTCAGAAATACAAATATCATCTTCAAAGTCACTCTGAGAAGGGAGGGTGGGGGAAAGGGAGAGGAAAAAAAAACCCCAACCAAACAATTGGATTGCAATTTGTCAAGATTTTTTTACTCCAAAGTTGAACTAGAAAGTCTTAACAGCTGACTGATGAGCCAGTGGGGGAGGAAGAGAGACTAGGAGTGCTGGAGTTAATCTGCAGTGCACTTGAAATGCAATGAACTTTCTTGCTGTTCCAAACAGCATCTAATATTTTGCTTTCTTCAAGGCCAGCCCTTTTCTGATGTAAATAATCCTGTGATCCCATGTCACCAGGAGTCTAGGGAAAACAGCTCCACCTTATGTGCTGTTCTTGGAGTGTTTGGAGCAAGGCAAAACTGTCACCAAAAGCTGTTTGGGAGCATTAAGTAGCAAGGAAACATTTCTCCCCCACCTTAGGCTTTTGGAAGTCTCCAGGCTGGGAGGTATTTTTGTTTCAGGTTGTGACAGCAATGGCTGCAGCTCTGACAGCAGATGTGAATAATGGAAAAGGGTTCTGAACACGAGAAGTCACTCTGAGCGCTCGCTGAACTTCCTTGATGTGCGTGACATTGACAAAGCACACCCCAAGGGTTTCTGGAGCACACGGAGTTTGCCTGTTCCACGTGCTGGTTTTATGAACAGCAATCAAGCTGTAAACATGTAGGCAGCTGAAACACATGTAGGCAGCGTGTGTGGTGGGTGGCTTCCCATGCTGTCCATGGGTGGGAAGCACAGAACCGTGGCCAGGGCAGCAGAAACAACGTTTTGCCATCAGAGGAGAGGACTCCTGCTCCCTGGCAGGGCTCATGCTGGGTGGTCTGGATGGTGGTGGTTCTACATCATCATGTTGTCTGATTGTATAACACACACAGCACCTGGAAGCAGCTTTTGGGATGCACAGAAGCTCAACCAGATACATCTCACAGGAGCTGACGTGTGAGCTGGATACACTCCTCACCAGTGTAAGAAAGGAAAGCCTTCATTTCCAAGCACAGGCTGGAGAGCAGGGTCACAGCTCAGCAGACTGTCAGCCCAAGCCCCTCTTCCTTTGTCTGTGAGGCAGTGGCCCATCAATCAGATACACATTTCACAGAGCTGCATTAGTGAATCAGCAGCACTGAGAATCCTGTTTCCCCCTCCCACATCCCCATCCTTCAGAAGGCAAAGTCTGTTTCTACAGGGACTGAAAGCAGGATTAATCCCTCTCTGATTTCCTCCTCTAACTCCTTCTCCCTGACACCCCATTCCATCTTTCATCCTATCTGGGCTATTTAGTCTAGAGCAGGGAAGGCAGAGAGGAGACTTGATAACAGCCTTCAATTATACAAATGGCTTATGCAAAGAGGAAGGTAATAAATTTTTATCCATATCCACAGGAAAGCACAAAAAAAGTAATGGGTTTAAATGCAACAAGGGAGACCTGAGTTCAGAACTAGAATAACTTCCCTGCTGCAGGGGTCACTGGGCACTGGAGGGGATTGCCTGGGCAGGCTGGGGGATCTCCACGCCTGACAGGGTTAAAAAAACACTTCAGACAAACGAGTCAGGAGTGGTTTGTGTGGGGGTGGATGAGGTGACCTGTTCAGGTCCTTTCTAGCCCTGTTTTCTTCTATACCATGGTGGTAACTACTCCAGCCTCCCTCCTTGGCACACAACCACGGCAAAACTCCACTCCTCTGTTTTTTGGTACAAGTTGGCAATCTTGTGGCAGCAACACAATTGGGTCAAGGATCTGATGAAGTCAGAAGACAGGATGATCCCTCGGCACACAACAGGCATAACTGTAAGGTCCTGCAGCACCCAATTATTCTGCCTAATTCTAAATAATTTAATTTTCTCTTAAACAGTCAGCAAGAGAAACTCAAGCTCCTAAGAGCTCATCAGCTGTGCAGAGGACAAGAGATCACACTCACAAACACACACTGGTTCTAAAGCAGTGGCACCTCAGCAGCCTCCCCACAAGAAAGACAAAAAAATTTACTTTGCCCTGTACAAGATTACCAAATACCTTGGAGTGTGCTCATGTTGGCAACTGGTAGAGCCTCATCCTGCACAGCCCTTGCAAAAAGGAGCATTCCTGGAGATGCTCTGCTCAGAAATGCACTTCTCACCAAATTGCACTGAAAATGGGATGGATCCTGTGTTTACATAAGCATATCCTTAAGTGCATTGCTGGACTGGGGCCTTACCCAGCTATATTCCAGGCTCCTGGAGGTCAGTAGGGATTGATTAGCTTCTCTGCATGACCTGGGCATTGAGAGCCTACATGTGTCAGAATGAGGATATTTTCCAACATATAATTTTTCTCACTGAGTTTTAGATATCCTAGGCAGAAAAGATGGCCAATAACAACAAAGTCAGAAGGCAGTCTCTCCTCCTGAAAGAGAGGTGTGAGTGAACCCTAACAGATGTCATTTGTATCATTACTGCTGATGAAGTTAGCAGCCTTTAGCAAGGAGACATGATCAATAGCTACTTGAGAAGATACAGCTGCAGATATCCAAATGGATGTGAACAAGGAAGAGAGGTGTAAAAGGCAATAGCTGAATATTTAAACCAGATGAAAGTTGTAAGGTAGGTTATTGACCTTGAAAGAACCAGATAAGTAAAAAAAGTAGAGAAGGGCAACAATGATTTATGTATTGCCCTGCACAAATATTAGAATGGCTTATTCAAGAGTGTAGTAAATTATGAACCAAGTAGAACTGTATTAGATTAATGACAGAGGAGTTTATATAGAAAGGCTGGCATCTTTGGAAAGTGGATAAGAGAAATTAATTTTATTTTAACTCTTTTCTTTTAATGATTGAACACTCCATTTTTTTTTTTTTTTTTTTGCCATGCAGCTGTCTTACACTTTGTGATTATATATCTGTTTCCAGATCCTTTGTGACAACAGTAGAACTCAATGTATGGAAAGCAGCAGGACACCAGGAAGGTGCACCCATGGAGACAGAGATGATAAGTACTAAAAGCTTTATCAAAGATGATAAAAGCTAAAACAAGGACCTGTTTCTAACACTGTGGCAAGAGGTGGGGGTTTTGGAATTGACCAAGAGGTTCTCAGACCTTTATCGTGATTACTGTAGCGATGTCCAGAATCCTGAGTCTTGCATCATGCATGCTGATGTCCCTAAAAAAGGCAAAATATGACAACCACCTCCCACAGGCTTTAAATCAAGCAAAGTAGGGTAAAGTTTGGTGGAGCAGCAAGGGGCCACAACATGAAGTGATTCACATGTGGTTGCAAAGAAAGCTGGGCCAGGACCTCCACATTCCATTTCCCATCCGAATGCCTAATCTAGACTAAAGAAAAGAACATTTCTCTCTGCAAGGACAAACTTTTTAAACTGGCTTAAAGGATTCTGTTTAGGAAACAGAGAGAAATGAAAGAGAAAACAATTTCTATTTCTACTCCTTGTTCTTCTCATATGAAATGTGTTTAAAAAATTGTTTACCTAGAGTGAGTGCTTAATTAGATTCTAGTGAAGATTGTTTGATCCTGATGACCAATCCAATCTACCTGTATCTAAATGTCCCAGAGAGGGTCACAAGTTATGTTAAATATAAAGTTAGAGAAAGTAGTATGTAGTTTTAATATCTTCCTTTATATAATATATTAATATATTTTAACATAGTTATAATAAAGAAATCATTCAACCTTCTAAATTGAGTCAGACATAATTTCTTCCCATTGGGTTCACCTACATTTACAACAGCAGGAGAAGTGGGTGCTGTGCTCTGCTGCATCCCTGAGACTGCACTTGATGAGATCAGTGGCTGAATTCTTACTCCATCCTCAGGGTCAGGCCAAGGGGCTGGCACTGTGCTGCTCATTATTCACCACCTGCCATGTACAGGTGACCTGAAAACCTGACCCACAGCCCAGTGAGCCCCCTTTGGATTCCTCTGTGCTCCAAATCGAGCCTCAAGAGAACAATTAGAATGAGTGAGCTCAAATAAAAATGAATTTTTGGGAGTGTATTTATCATCAGTTTTGTGTTCTGCCCTTTGCTCCCTGCAAAACCCCCAGCTCAGGTGTAATGCAGCTTAAGAAATTTCAGGGTAGGAGAGGATTGCATGTTAATGGACATAGACAAAAGAGCTGCTTACAGGGGGAAAAATAAAGATGGCTAAGAAATAATAACTATTTAACAGCATCACCACCCACAGAGAATAAATTTCACAGGTAAGATAGCGCGGATACAGCTATTATGGAAACATGAATCTTCAACTCCTTTATATTATTATATTTTCCCTTCCTGCTAAGGTTTGTTGGAAAAGTAGAATATGCTAATAAACCTCTCTGATTTGTCTCCCTTGAAGTTTTGTGTGAGTAAAGTAACACATTCTATTTGAACTTCATAATTCATATGTAATTATTTTTAGTTATGTTCAACCCTCAATGGGAGCTAATTAATTTAAGAAAATCTATAGTCTATTTGAATTACCTACTCTAGTTTCTTACTAGCATTAGCTTGAGCTTAATTGGCAGCTACAGTCTAAAAAAATCATCATTAAAACTTATCTCAATGCAGGTGTAATCTGGACAAAGAGGTTTCCCCTGATGATCTCCTGCTTCTGTGTTGCTGAACACCTCATCCTGTGGCATTCAAGGCTGTGGTATCTGAAGGCTGGAGTATTTGGGTTCCTCCACCTGCAGGAATCAAGGGATAAATATTTATTTATTGGTCCACAACAGCTGGCATCCTGTGATGAGATAATGAGGCAGATGCAGGGAGGGAGTTCCTATGGGACTTGGGGTGAACAGTCTGAATTAGGCTGGAAAGGAGGAGGCTGGGATGGGGTCTGCTGCTCCTGCCAGCAGTGGCACTGGGCACAAACACTCCTTTGCCCCAGGAAAATGCCAAAAGGAGGCACAGGGAAAAGGAGAGCAGCTCCCTTGGCTCTGTCCTGCCTCCACTGCACCTTCACCAGCAGTGGCTGCCCAGCTTCACCCTCACACCTGTGAGCCTTTCCATGGCCTCATTTCCTCCCTCCTCCACATCCTCCCACAGAAATGGGTTTATTTGTTAAACAGAAAGACTGACTTCTTTTGCTGAAGTATTTTAAGATGGTCTGTGTCTGTACATGAAAACGGGGACTTATTTTCCTAAATAATCTACATTTTCTAAAGGTTAAAGGAAACTATTTTTAAAGAAAATTCATAAGTATTATTTGAATTTTTTTTGCACTTACAGCCTCTTCCTTGCAGGGAAGTCTCATCCACCTTTCTTCATGAGATATTCAACACGTGCATTCATTTTCAGTTTCAAATAAGAAAAATATCCAAACCCCACAGATGTAAATATAAAATAAAACTTTTTGTCCTGATGCTGCAAAAAGCTTTCACAACAGTGAAATGCAGAGTTAAAACACACTAATGTAGAAAAAAAAGTCATTTGAATCCATCACAGTGGACATACCCTAGTCAATACCACCTTAACACAACACATTAAAAACACCAAAGTACCACCTGCCTGTGAAAGACTTGATTCTTATGAAATTGTTCCTTGAGAAAATGGTCCCATAGAACTTTTTAACTCTACTTAATCAGCACAAAACTAATCAAAGAAGATGACTCTAATTTCCTTTTCTAAATGAAAAATGTCCACTTCATGAGGGAAAGGTCAGCTCTTAGGCAGAGAGCTGGTGCACTTTAAAGAAACTAAAATCTGCACCTGGACTTCCTCACATCCAAAATATTTCCCTCCTTCAGTTTGGCTGAGAATTGCTATTTAAAACTGCTTTCTTCTTCCTGGTCCCCTCATTATTCTGACAGTTGTGTCTTTCCTAGAATTTACTCTTCCTGTAACATTTCCTTGATAAAATACAATAAATTCTGTTTTATGTCCTAATTCTAGCTAGACAGCTATAGAAGTGTTAAATAGCTACTGTGACATGTCTAATAAATAGCCATCTAACCACATTATAAGTAACTTCAAATTCAGCCCAATAAATATTGCAATAAATTTGTGTTTGCCAGTAATCTGTATAAATATCAGTAAAAAGATAGACCAGAAAGGCTAACCATCCTAAAGAGGTTTGATTTTGGAAAAGGGCCATGTGTAATACTTTATTCTTCTTAGAGGGGGAAAAAAAACCAAAACAAACAAAACAAAACAAAACCCAAAAACTCAAAAAATTGTTTAGCAAACAATAGAGTGTTGGGAAAGGAAGAGATTGTTCAACAGCCTGCAATTTATTTAGATAACAAAAAATGAGATATGTGAAGTAGGGCATGTTTAGCTGAACGTCAATGGCAGTTGCACAACATTTGGATGCATTAAAAAGCAATAACTTTCCAGTTATTAATTAACTCCTATTGCCAATACCATTACCAGCAGCTGGAAACATCTACTGAACGAGACACACGGGTCTTTTTCTTCCAGGCTGCAATCCTATTCTGACTGCCAAAAGTTTTGAAAAAATATTCCAAGTATTTGGCAGCCTATTCAGTAGCCTTATCAATATCCCCTTCATCAGCATTTCTTCACCTACCACCCACATTTTACCATCCTCTGGATGACAGAAGGCAGGAGCATCTCAGCTGGAAGAGGCTGGAAGGAAAGAGAAGGTTCCCCCACCTCCCACAGCCCTGCCTAGAGCCTTGGACACACTGTTCCACTAGACCAGGGGTCAGGCTCCTCATCTGTGCTCTACCTCCTGGAAAAACTTTCTGCATTTCCACTGCTCAGACTTGGACATCTTTAAGGTTCCTTCCTGGCTTTGCTTTCTCATTAACCAAAAAAACATTCACTCGTATGAGCAGTGATGACAATACCTGCCACAGTGCTGTGTTTATTCCGGTCTATTTAGTTTAGGTTGTTTAGGTTTTATTTCTATTTATAAGCTTAGCAAAAAAAAAAAAAAAAAAAAAAAATCCATTCAGAGCAAGCTTTTAATACCACTGTTCATTCTTCATTCCCTATTTATATCTTTCTGGAGTTCTGTGATCAGAAGATTGTACTACCAGCTTCCCCTGGTGTAAGGTTGCTCATAGAAAAAAAAGGCAAGTTACACAATAGCCCTACCATTACACAAAGGATGTGCATTGACATCTGCATAAGCTAATATTTTCCACAGGGTCAGATTAATGGGTCATACACTCTGCAGCAGTTTCTAATGGCTCCTCTTTGGTAAGGACTGTGGAAGCATATAAATTATGAGAAAAAAAGGAATATTTCTTTGCATTCAATTTCAGTTATCATTGGTGGCACCCCAGGGAAGTGGTCACAGCCTCAAACCTGGCAGAGTTCAAGAAGCATTTGGACTACTCTGTCAGGCACTCTGGTGTGTCTCTAGGCAGGGCTAAGAGTGGGACTTGATGATCCTTGTGCATTCCTTCCAACTCAGCATATTCTGTGATGTGCATTGAAGGTATGAAATGTTGCTAATGGAAACTTAAATTTTGGGCAAAGCACTGCAGAGGTGAAAACAGCAATTTTCTGGGAGCCTATGAGCCATGTCAGAAACACATCATACATGCTTACACCGAAAGTGTGGTTAGCTTGTCTTCTGCTCCTTGGGACACCACCACACAGAAAGCTTGGAGCTCCTGCACAGCTGCATTGATAGGTTAGCGTTTCCCAGGAGCTGATGTACCTGCAGCAGGAGAGACCAAAGCTGTTTGCTCTCATAGGTGATCACTCCTTCCATTCCATCCATGGTCATCCTTATCCTGCTCCACTCTTCCCCCACACAACACCCACAGGGGTCTGCATGTCCCAGCTCTGCAGATGTCTCAGCATGGAAGGGACAGTCCTGGACCTCCTCAGATTCTGTATGGGGCCATCAAAATCCACTCTATCTTCCCCAGCTATGACTGCTTTTCTGCCTGAGGAGAAACATTGCAAGTGAAGAGGTGCTGATTGCATAGGGTGTTTTTCTCCAGATAGAATGTAAGCTCTTAATTTTATAAATAAATAAATACAGCACAGACCATATTGACATAGTGCCCTGTTCTATTCATGAGATATCTCTAAGAGGGACAGAAAGGCTCTCAGCAGAACCCAGGACAGGCACACTGAAGCAGAAATGTGGGTACAGAAGGCCCATTTTCCCAACTGCTTTAAATCACAGTCCCATTACAGGTGGAGGGTAGATGGAGGGGAGTATGAACCTCAATTAATAGGTCAAGGGCTGGGACATATCTAATTATAAACCCATTTAGCCCTAGCCTAAACATCCTAATCTTAGCCCAAAATACACAAGTCTGCCTGGAGCGACACAAAGCAGCGATAGCCCATGCAGGAACTTGCCAGCCTCAAAGAGCCCATGTTGTTCTTTCAGCTATCACAGTTTATTTTTTGGACATAGAGACTCCAGAGTTTGCAGAGCAGCGAGGCACCATGCAGAATACAGTGATTTGTGACTTCAAGGATGAGGGGAACTTTTTCAATGATACCATTGTCTGTCTGTCTCTACAAGATGTACTGCAAAGGTTAATTTGTTTTGAAATCTTCATTTTTAATTTGCATTACTGATCAACCTAGCAATTATAAATGTTAATCTATTCTTCAGTGGCCTTAAATTCAGAGATTGAGATTGTTGAACTAAATAAAAATTCCATCCCTTGTTCTGATTTATTAAAACTTGAGAGATATGAAGAACCCACTGAGTCAGAGCACGGATAGGACCATGCTTTCAAAGCACATCCTTAATTAATTTTAAAGCAGGAGGGACCAATTTATATCACTCTGATTCAAATCAGTTTTGTTAATTGTTATTTAAATCACAATTTAAATAATTCAATTTGCATTGCAGTTGTGCTTTCTAGCAGATATTCATGATAAAGTGTTAGTCTCAGAGACTGACACCTAATAAAAATGCTTGATTGCAAAGAAAGGTAGCTCTGAGCTGGTATTTAGTATTTGTTTTTGTTAACTCTTGTTTACAAAGACAAATAGCACACTAATATCACACGTCACTATATATCTAAGCATTTATTTTGGGGTTTGATTTTTATGTTTGATTTATGAGAAAACAGGACATGGAGTTTTTAGCCACCTGATTCACTTTTTAAATTTGTGCTTTGTGTCATGCTGCTTCTGAACAAAAATATCCAGGAGAACATAATTGTTTAAGTGGAACTACATTGTGTCCTGCATATTTTAGGAAATATTATCAAAATATTCCTTGCATTTCAAGGCAGCTGAGGTACTGAACAGTGCAAATATCAACAGCAATAAATCAGCTGAGCTATTTTTTCCTTGCTTCCCTGTTGTCAAGATTAGAACAGGTTGATCTCAGATCTTCCCTCCCCCCACCCATCTTTTACTCATAAAATGGGAAAGGATAAGCAAATTTTTCTGTTCTTTCAACTACCAGTTGTTTTCCCAACTTGGAATACTCTAGTCATTAAGTGATGTAAAGCAGATAAAACAAAAAGAAGAAAATGTTATTTCTGCACCTGCAAAAAAAGGGCTGCAGCTGTCAAAAGCTAGTTTATTACTGAAGGAATTTCAATTCTAGGTGTCTAGTTAGCAATTTATCCCCTTTAGTGATATGACATTCTTCAGAATTCTGGCAATGAGTACATACTCGGTTGTTATTTTTATGAAAGAGGTAATTAATAAGAAAATAAAATTTTCTTTTTGGCATTCATAACAAATTTAGGATGTCATCATTTTAGAATTCATACCTTCAAGTTTTATTTTCAGAAGACAAAAATATTAATTTAAAAATTCAAAGATGAATGAATATGTGTTGTAAAAACACACACGGGTTTCTTGGCACTAAGGAACCACAGACAAAAGGACAAGAATGTGAATGGAGTAATTGCCAGCTATTTTAAAAGGAAACACAACAAAAACACTGTAGATTTTTATTTTCTAGAGGATTTTTCTCCTGCCCTCAAGTGACAAAGTATGATATTTACCACTTGCACCTGGATAGAGATTCTTCCCTATCCCACAAGGAAAATGCTGGGCAATGAACTCTCCTCACACCATAATTCTCACACAACATGAGAGAAAAGGCACAGCTCTAATATCAAAATGTTGTTTCTTAATCCAAATGTTTATTCTTGATTTTATCTAAACCCCTACGTGTTTAGAAATTAATTAAGTTAGTTAATTATGCTAGTTAACTATGTGGCTGCTGGGTAAGAGAGCTTTCCCACTCAATTACTTGAAGCAAGTTTGCAGCACAGTTTCTTAGGGCAGCCTTATGCTAATTTTCAATCAGTTTTCTGAAATAAGAGACATTTGTTTTAATTTCTGCATGAGGTGCTGAAGATGCCACCTGGTACTTAGTTACTGGTGTTAACCAATAACCAGGAAGAATTCTGTGATGGTGCTTAGGTCCTAGAAAACAATGAATTCCCTAGTATGGTAAGAATTTGAAACTAAATTAAACAAGCCAGCAAGTGAGCTTGTCATCAGTTCTGCATGTGCAGCACAGGAATATACTCACCAAAAGGTGTGGGAGTATTGGGAATAGGCAGGCACCCACCTGGGAGGGAGCAGGACAAACACCCAGCAGACTTTTCCATAATGCCTTGCAGAAGTATTTCCCAATCAAATGAAAACCTGAGTGGAAAAAAATCAAATAAAATTTTGATTAGTAAAGAAAAATTTAACAAAAGGGTAAAAGTATTTCTGTCAAATAAGATTTTTTGCTTACTCTAAACTTCAGAGCAGGCACAGACTAAAAAGAGATGCCAAAAGCAGTAACTGAGGAGCTGTCACTGTGCTGCACTTCAGGACATATACCCATGAGTTCCCTTTAGCATCATCTACTTTTCTGCTGAAAATATCCATAGTTCAATATTTCTCTGTGCAAGTGCCAGCCTACCTAGAATTGACAACTCAAACGTGCAGAACAGAAAAAAGGGATCAGAAAATACCTCACTCCTACATTTGGAGAGCTGCACTATGTGTTCAAGACCAATTAAACACTTTAAAACCTCAGTGAGTACCTGCAAGAGTTATGTCTGCTAAGCCCATCAAGTCTGCAAAACTTGCACAGGAGACTCACAGAGGAATTTTGCAAGGAAAAGTTCAACACACAGATGTAATTTTTATGCTTTAGAATACATAGAAAAATCCAGCAATCACTGAATGAAGTCTGAGTGTCTTAAGCAAATATAAACCATTAAGTAAATACATGGAAAAAGTAGTGCCTTGGAAGAAACAAACAAATTATATATGGCATCAGACTAAACAAGCTAGTGTAAGGCCAAGATGGAGCAGCTATCTCTGAAATCACTAGGAAGTAATCATAAAGAAACACCTGAAATAATAAATAAAAGAGAAGAAATAGTTCTTTTCCCCTACTACTCACGTCTGAAACAGTGCAGAGCAGCCTAGAACTGGACGTATAATTTTCCTTTATTCCCTTTATGCAGTGAAAGGATGCTATCCCGTGTCCACTGTAACTGGTCATGAAGAAATTGCCTCTGTACAAGGATTCCTCACTTGCACAAAGCTGAGGAAATCAGGCTGCTCCTCCCAGACAGCACTGAGTAAGACAGGCAGGGGTGTCTGAGGAGCCACCACACTCCTGCTGCTGAGAGTGATGTGATCCCCAATTTTGGAACGAGGGTGGTGTTCTCCAAACAGCCAATGCTGAAATGACACTGCATATGGTACATTGCATCCCAACCAGATCCGAATTTCAGGTTGGCTTTCCTGACACCAGCAGCTCATCAAAATGTCTGTGCTAGCTAGATATTTCACCTCCTGTGTGAGGAAGGAAAACTAAACAAGTAAAACTAGCTGACATTAGGAAAATTGAGAAGCTGTAACTCATACAGAATTGGCCCAGAAATAATCAGATTCCTCATTCCTTAATTTGCTCCTGGACCAGATCCATTCAGTCCAGATAAACTCCTCAGTGCACTACACAGCTCTGGTGTAATGAAGTGATGGGTCATGCTGGAGCTGTTGCATCCAGGATTTATGGGGAGATATTATCACCTCAAATAGGGAATTGGAGGGGGCAGAGAGATTGTGGCTCTGCAAACAAGTCTTTAAGGCATGTTTAGATGGGTGGGATGCAATCAGTCAAATTAAGGTGCTGTGCATGGATGTATCTCCGCTGACTCAGAAAGAATTCCAGCATACATTGGTACAGGATCTAGTGGTTAGGAATTCTTTAACCATCCACATCTGTTAGCAAAAGCAGGCACACCTCCTACAGGTAATTCAGCATATTTCTTCTCCTTTCCCAAGAGTAAAATGTCCAGTGCTGATACCAAAGCTGCCTTCCCTGCTGATCCCCTTTGGTCTCTGTTTGGCATGTTACTTGCATTCTCCATTCAGCAGCAGCTGTGAATAGCTGGTCAAACACTCCAAGTTGTTTGTCAAAGTTTTCCTAAGGCTTTTCATCTCCCTGTTTTCTCATGAGGTGCCCAAACACAAGTCATCTCTGTTGGCTTTTGGAGCACATTAATTCTGACCACAGCATCAGAACTGGCAGGTAATCAGTTAGCTGGAGGTTAAAGTGGAGCATTTTTCCCTAACAAGGGCAACAAAAAGGTGGGAAAGATATTTATGAATTAGAACTTTTGTTTCAGGTAATATATTTCTTAGAGGTGCACCTTTAATGCCAGCTCATGGGCAATTCTTTCACTAGATGCAACCTGAAAAGCCGCTGGAGGTGGAGAAAAACAAAGCAGAATGTCTGATTTATCATTCTGAAATGCAAGGTGTGGGGATAACAAACTGCAGCCTCAGGGCTTTGGGTCCTGAAGCACTGCACCACCCTGGATCCATGAGGACAGAATCCAGCTAACATCACTCACCCCCATACTGTGGGAGATGTTACTGTGGGGGCACAGGGAGGAAAGAGAGACCTTGAGGAGCAGGGGCAGGAAGGCAGGGGCTCTGAGCACTCAACTGGCTGCATGACCCAGGAAAAGGAGTCTGACCACACACAGCTTTTGTCACACAGTGAAGAGGGAAATAGATCCTATCTGCCACATCGTGTAGCCCTGATCTAGAGCCAGCTAATTGGTAACAGGAGTTTTATGTAAAGTTGAACTCCATGGAATCTTTTAACATTAATATCTCTCAAATAATTTATTTGATTTTGAGCCATCTCCTAGGAAACAGTCCATTTGTGTCAGCATTAAGGAGTAGGATGCCATGCATAGTTAGGAATGCCTGTTAACCTCCACCCTTGAAATGCTCATCCCTACAAGACAGGAGGAGAGAGGGCAGAAGGAGACCTGATCTCAGGGCACCATCAGTGGTGCTTCAAGAGCTCTCACACCAAATTTATGCCCAAATTCTGTCATGTGGTGTCAGGCCAAGTGGATGCACAGGTAGCTGAGTGAGGCCAGAAATTAATTTGAGAAACAAAATGATGTAAAGGCTGTTATTTATCCTGGCTATGCTATTTTCCTGAGATGGAAAAAAATTGAAATATTTGAATTATAGCTATTTGATGGGTATCATTGTAGTAGACAGGTTAGTCCTTGTAATCTGCTGGCACCATCAGCAGAGGACTAAGTCAAATATGTTTTTTTTCACCTTATGTATCTATTAATGCAATCCATTGCAATGGTTATTCAACATTTATGTTTGTGTGAATTATTGCATATTTCATTCTCCTTTGAAAACTAGGATAGTTGAAATGGTACCGGATTGCTTTTTATCCGACAGAGCTTTAATCTTTTGCTTATCATGGTTTCACCTGAACTGTTGTTCTAAAAACTAAATAAATGAGGTTTTGGTGAGATAAGAAGTTCCACCTGATACCAGGTGGTCATGGTGTCATGATATACCAACATTGCTTATATTTTTGACTGCCTGTATCAGTTTGAAGAAATAGCACTCGCCACACTGAGTAACATTTAACACTACTCATACTGTAGTCAAATTCCACTCTTTAGGAAGCAAAGAAAACCACTTGCAGAAGTCAGGAAAGACTTTCTTCTCTACTTATAGGAATAAACATAGTCTGTTGCTCTTGTCAGCTAGTCATATCCATCATGGCACTCTCAGTTTGGTACAAAGTATTTCACAGAAAAATAAATCAGATTTCTCTACATCAGAATATGCCTGCTGCTGCACCCTAGCACTGAGATTGCAATTCAGCATCTTGTTTCACTCTGCAGTGAAGAACAATCTGAAAGTTAGACTGCAGGATAAAATCTGAAAAGAGACTTCAAGGGAAAATCACCTGCCCCCTTCTAGGTGCCCACTACATTTCTAGGCTGCAGGAGAAAGAAGATTTGTAACTTCTGTGACTAAAAAGCCTTGCTCCTCAACCTTGCTCCCAAAGAAGACTTATCATATATATGTTAAGTCTGGTCCCAGGTCCAGGAAGACAAGAGAAACATCAAGAAGGTCCAGAAAGACATAGCATGATTCACAATTCAGTTTTCAGAATCAGTGGGTATTTTTCTTTGTTTATTCCATACAGGATCAGTCAAATAGAGAACTTAGAATGACCTTAAGGAACTGAAAACAGAAACAGGAGATGACTTAACGCTGCTGTGCCATAATCCATGCTACTCCAAACCATTCTCCAAGGCAAGAAACAAAAAAACCCCATCAAGAAAATAGTGCCATAAAACAGAAAAACTAAGTATAAACAGAAAAATAAAACCAGACGCCAATGTGTACCCAAAGGAACTATTACATGCAAAATGCTTGTCAGGATAGGATGCTCCACTGCACACATCTGGTGCTCTCAGCAATACAGAACATTTCTTTAATTGCTACACCTGAGACCAAGAGCAAGAAATAAATCTAGACACCGATCTCAACATATTTGGAGACAGGTAGAGATGAGTAGCAGCATGAGGATTTCATTGATGATAATCAAGCAGTTATGCATTACTGCACTGAACAGACACGCTTGGGGTAGATCTATGCCTCTATAATTTGATGTCTGTTTTTTAAATCCTTCTGGTGCCAGACATTGCAGAGATAACTGTGATAAGCCTCCCATTTGGTATAGATCATGCACCACTTTTTGCACCATTCAAGATGTCAGCTCAGCAATATCCAGTGGAAAAGGGAATGGACGGGATGTCAGAGCAGCTGGACTGACTCCAGGCTCTTGTTTCCTCTCACGGGTTGTTGCGAGTCACTGAACCTTTCTGTTCCTATTTTATTTACTCAGACTCCAAGTACTGGCTACGTGCTTAGACAGCACCGTGCATGATGGATCCTCATTCTCTCTCAGGCCCTTAGAAATGTGTAAGTCAGTATTATTCACATTTTGTGGCTTAGACTTTTCCTGACAGCAAACAGTGGAGCGTATGTGTTTATTGAGAGGAAAGGATTCAAAGACAGGCACAACCCAAGAAATGACATAACTAACACTTGTTCTGAGAAGCTGTTTGGTGTTTCTAAACTGGAAAATGAACCTGCTCAGCAAGTCCTCTTGCTCAGGATCTCTATGTCCTTCACCTCTCAATAGGATGGTGAGACCTTCCTCACCATTTCTGTAAGTCGTGAGTCCATGCAAAGGGTGGGTTAAATACTGATGTTAAAATGTTCACATCCTTGTTAGAAGGATATGTTATCACATCCTTAGAAGAAGAATATGTTTTGCTCTGAATCCAAGCTAATTA